ACACCGTGGGGGCGCGGTTATTCAGTCGGAAATTCAGGTACATTAGGGTAGTACATTTCTCAGGGGAATTTCCGGGCGCGGGGGGAAATTACTCCAAATGACTAGCCCTAAAATATGGCGGACATTAACCAATGGGCCCATAGGGCACCTTTGAGCGCCGGTGTATTTCGTTTTTCGTTTTTTTTTTCCCGTTGCTGACTGCTGTCTTACGGTTGCTACATCTACGCAGAATAAATGGAGAAAGGAATTGATATAGGTAAACTGTATGCACGATATAGGAACTCATTGGATTTGAGCGCTTGAACGTCGCAAAAAACAGCGATGCTGTTACAGCCACGGTTTCGTAAGAGAAAATACGTCACTGCTGCTCACGTATGTATATTGACAACAACACATTACAAGACGATGGGTTACACAACACATCCATATTCGGTAGTCAGTTTCAGCCCGAAGTTCGCTGCCGTAACAATCAAGCGACATTTAGAGTCACAAAGCTAGTGGCTACTTATCCTGGTACGCTACAGATTCCGAATCATGTTTCCGGTTTTCACAAGATGATTGTCTAACACCTATCGTCAAGTTATCTTTAAGCCATCAGCATCTGAATTTCATTTGGTTAAGTTGTCATGGCAGCTGAATACGCATATAGTGCCAGGAGCAAGGGGCCATACGCGCAATAGTGTCAGGAGTCGTAAGCATTGTCACACCAATCCAGACTTACACATAATGTCAAGCAAACAAACACAACGGCGACGTATTTCGCTGCACATACAGTGCTTAAGCATCAATGAGAAGATTGACGAGGCATTGGCATTCGATTTGTTCTGCACGTGACAAGTGCATTGTTTGTGACTGTTTGAGATTGAGTTGACAGTGAAAAAAAAATATAGTGAAAATACCACACTCGGCATAAATAGAATCCTGAGTCCAACATTGACGAAAAAACATTCAGCGCAAGGGAAATTGTAAGATAGAATGATGTTGACAGAATCACGCAGGATAAGACAGTATGATCGTGAGCTTTGTGTCCATAAATTGATTTACGATCGGCAAGAACACGCTGTCACATTAATAAAAAAAAAAATGTTAGGGCAGCTAGGCACTTGTAAATACAATTCAGCTAGACAGCTAGTATACAGGAAAATAGATAATACAAAACGATAATATTGACATCAGAAATACACTGACACAGCGCAAAATAATGGAAGAGCACAGACTCGTATTGGAAGAGCAGAAATATCAAAAACCACATCACGGAAGAGACAGCAGGGGCCGTATTCACGTCGACTTCGTAAGTCGATTTTCTTTCGTAAGTATAACCAGTATAACGCCTTTTGGGGCGACTAACGGAGCGAGCGAGAGGGTGGGCCTTGCACGTGCGAAATTGCGAGGGGGTACCTCCAACTGACTTGTGCACGGCACCCTACTAACTGGTCTCTAGCGATATGCCAAATTTGGGCACAATCGGCCCAGCCGTTCTCGAGATCTGGAAGCGGCACCCTGCACGTGCGCACGTGCAAAATGGGTCCCAACTGACTTGTGCACGGCACGCTACTAACCGGTCCCTAACCGTGTACCAAATTTGAGCGCAATCGGTCCAGCCGTTCCCGAGATCTGGAAACGACCCCTGCACGTGCGCACGTGCAGCAGCACCCCAACTCTGGCACATGGATATGCAGTGCCTAGTGGGTGCCTACCTACATGCCAACTTTCAGCGCATTCGGCCAAGTAGTTACCGAGATATTGCAACAATTACAAAAGTGACACCTCTTCGTTTTGCACGTGGCACGTGCATAAGGGGTCACCCACATGCATCGGGAATAGTCCAATACTTGGTAGAAGGAATGAAGCTACCCTACAAAAATTACCGCGTGTAAATCGGCCAAGTGGTTGCTGAGATATAAGCCTCGCAAAAGCGTGACCACGGCCGGCCGGCCGGCCGGCCGGCCGGCCGGCCGGCCGCTCATACTCGGAAATTTCCGTTAATCTAAGGAAAGACTACGCTCGCTTCGCTCGCTCCGTAATTAAGAAGTAGGTCATTCGTAAGGAAATTCTTACGAGAATAATCGACGTGAATACGGCCCCAGATCTCAGAAAGAGTTCAGACTATTGGCTATCATCCCATTGGTTATATAACTTCACAAGGAAACCCCTCAATAACACATCAACGACAGCACATAAGGCTATTATATAACATCGATCTAGCGTTCGAATAAGCTATAACCAAAGTGGATGACCATTACACCAGCAACCGCCAAATAAAATAAAACAAATCACCAATTAAGATCTATGTTAGTTACACCGCTTTCAAATGCCACGACTATATGAGAAAATAAAGACAGATTACAAACGGATATTGACGCTTGCATCGTAATCCGGTTGTGATACACATTTTCTCAAAATATACGAGCCGAGGTAAAGGTCATCCTGATTGTGCAACACTACAGCCTAGCAGCAACAACCGTACACACAAACGAAACAGCTGCCCATCTCACTATCGATACAGAATATCCCATCGCACCACTCAGCCTGTTCTCGCTTCAATAAATCAGGACAGCTGAATGCCTAGGGTAATGACATGACATAACAAGATACTAAACCGTGGTTCAAATCGCAAACATCGTAAGAATGCATAATTTTGTAATCATAAACACAATCCCATCACAAACTATCACCAAAATGTTTGTTGAAAAACCATCCACGCAAATTGGCAGCCTTATAGTGAAGCATTTCCCATCCCCACCACGCACATACGCACACACAACCTACCTAATCCCTTGCTATCCCAGACTACCAGCTGCCCAGTTGACTTCTAAAACCACATCACCATGCATATTTAGACGGAAATAGAGCTATCGGAACCTACCAATTCAATGGTAAATCGTCGATAACATATCGCTACATAGAACAAAACATACCACAAACGCACCCCCCCCCCCCCCAATCCTAATTCCCTAGCTAACCAGTAACCACTGTAAAAGGCAAACCCAACTACAAATTACATAGCCCCCGCAATTAACCCTCGCCCATGTAGGGGGGGGGGGGGTGCAACCCCCCCCCCCCTCCTGAGGTTTTTCTTAGCTACACGCCGAACCGTTTCAGATAGCCTGCTCAAATTTTCAGTACCCTTTGGGGCATCCTTTGCGCAACTTTTGGTTTTTTTTGTCAAGGTCATGTCAGGTCACGGAGTTATGACGTCATAAAGGGAACAACCTCCGGCCAGATTTACGCTAAATTGGAGATTGCTTCACATTGGTATAAATGCCGACTGACCTGACACACTGATGGATTGTTTTAGAATCACAACTGGCTGATTTGACATTGACACAATGTCCGTTGACATTTTGAAGGTTACTAAAGGTCAAGGTAAGGTCAGTGACCTCGGTTAACCTGTAATGACCTCTTGCACTTGTATGCCTTTTCGGGGTATTTTGATGCCCTGAATTCGAATTTGCTATCTATTTCAGGCATCGTCGGTTGTTTCTTGTAGTTCATTTTGGGTCAGGGTCAGGTCAGTGACGTCACACGCCTGACGTGAACCAATGCACAAATGACCTTGCAGACTTCCGATGCTCCCAACGCATCATTTTTAGAGTTATGACACCGAAATACACACCAAACGATAGAGAATTGATCAAGGATCACGATAGTGAAGGTTTCAAGTCGATATCTCTTACCGTTTTGCCGCAATCGGCGCGGCAATCTGAAAGTTAGATTTTTTCCGAAAATTTGACCTTTGACCGGTCATAAGTAGGTCAAATGTTGACCTAGGACCAAAAAATATACCACCAATCGCGAGATCTCGTTGAGAAAAATCCGTTGGTCTTTTCCGCTAAGCTCTACGACGCTCCGTTTTCAAACGCCAAGGGGGGGTCGCACCAACCCCCCCCCCCCCCTGCATGGGCGAAGGTGGCAAAACACCGTTTACGGGCGAGGGTTAATCGGGAATTGCCTAGCCCCCTGAATTGACTCAAACTTCATCGACATCTCACCGGGCCAGCATACAGCATAAATGCTGTGCAAACGCTGCATCATTAAGCGAAGAGTTTGTGTGCAAGGGACGACAATTGTGCAAGGTCATTTGCATAACTGCTTTCAAACAACACCAAATGACCAAAAGTCGAGAACAATAAGTATGTAAAGGTCTCGACTGTGGCACTACTGTGCGGCTTTTATGTCATGGCAGTCACGAACGGAGAGTTGAAATGATGTTATCAGCATGCACAGGATTTGGCAAGATCGAGCACGGGTGTCTTCACAGCCCACCGCTGAACTTACTCGTAATCTTTTATATAATTTAACATCGATTCGGCCGAAATGTGAGATTCATTCACCGGCAAACGACACATTTTGGTGCCAATATGAAAAGAATATGGAAGGTAAGATAATTTTTGCAGCCAATAGCCAACTATATTGGTTTGGATCATCCACTTATGCAACAAATACATATTTTTGATATCCATGGTTAGATTCCAGCACGATGTTGGTAAAAAAATATCTACTCTGAACAGGCACAAAATGAGACTAGCTGCAATAAAACTATGTTCAACTGAATAAATACACAGTTAAATAGCTATTGTATCAATAAAAATGATCCCTGCTTTTATCCAGTGTCACAATGATGACGGCAAGTCCTCGTGGACGGAACGGTCAAAGTAAAATGAAAGCAAAGTCCTGCCAATACGGGTACCTATGGCTAAAATAACATCAGTGACACATCTTTGATGCTCTGACCCAATGTGAAAATTGGTGATAGTCCTTAATGATATTGATGTGTCGATCTGATTCGCTTCCGTAGTACAAAAAAAAACATCGTAACTGTAGTCATGAGCGGAATGGCAAGGATGCGTTCCTGATTGCCTTCGCCAGGCTAAAAACGTACAAAAATAACATCACGAATAGTGTAAAAATCCATCAGCTCATTAAGTTTCTCGTCATTTGCCTTGTTTCTCATCGCTAGCCTTATAAAACTTCGGAACGATTCTTGGCATTGCAGGAAATAAATACACCATTCATCCGCACTTAGCTGGAATCGTCGGTTGTGCACTTGTCGACGCTAGTGACATCTAGCGAGTGAAGACTAACTAGAGTGGCTCCGTCTGTCCGGTAGGTGGCGGTGAGTCAGTCGCTTGTCGCGGAAAGTTAGGGTGACAATGATGCCTGAAAACGATTGAGAAATGTGTTATAAAAGAGCAAATACAACCCAGTGAGCAGACCTGGCAGGGATCGACGCTATTAAAAACAGATAAGCATGACGTACAGGCACAGCAAGTGCAACATTGAGCAATTGAGCAGCCGCAGTTCAAAAACGCGTGGCGAGGGCCATTGCGAGGCTATTAATTGAGAGGACTGAGAGAAGTCGAGCTGATACTACCGCTATGATTGGCGACTTCAGATTGGAAATGTTTCTGCAACACAAAAGATTATTAGAACCACGAAAGGCAGGGTGCTCGAGTCTCATTTAAACTTCCTAGATACCGACATTCGACATTACCGATATGTCGAGATCTGAGATGCTCTCTTTGACTGAATCCTGAATAATTGTAGTTTACGAAAATTGGCTTGGTGATAAAGTGCAGTCCTAGTATTAGCTGGGAAACAAATGCTCTAAAAAAACGGGTACATATTGTGACTCTCATTATTGATGTGACAGTGTAAAACGAAATCAGCCACTTGCCCGGTGCGGAACGGGCCTGTATGATAAACGATGACCGTACTTACTGACGCAAACGAAGCTGGCCTGTATCATAAACATGACCGGAAATCCGAGTTTCTGCAGGAAAACGTTGGCCAGTCCGACGGAGATGGGCGAACCGATTACCTGCACGAGTAAAAGCGCAAATGCAGAGGGTCAGAGACGCTGAGTTTTTTAGTTGTCGAGATTAACCCCGAAACAATCGGGGTTTGTTAGCTACATTCCAAACTGCTCATCCACCAAGCGACATCCCGGCAGTCCCGAGCTGATGAAACCCATCAAATCTTTCCAGGCACATTACACACACCTTACTGCCATTTTCTCACCGCCACTTCAAGATAGTAAAGATCACAACCCTAAAATAATCCCACCTTCCCTCGGCCCTCGCCCCTGTCCAGCGGTGGATACTTTTGCCGAGTTAGGGTAGCACGGGCGCAGCAAACCCGCCGCCGCCCTAGCGGTGACCTTGACCTGTGCCTTATGTTGCGGCTCCAAAGCCAAGCCGGCGTGGAATCGGGAGAGCTCGGGCAGCCCCAATCCAGAAAAAAGGTATCCAGTGCTGCCCCTTTCCCTCAGCTCCGCATCCCGCACTGGTGTTCTGGGCTCAATGTACAATATACAGCCCTCTGCAGACTGCGTGGTAGGTATTCTTTTTTCGACAAAACCGATAAAAACTCAAAGGCTATGTTATCAGTCGGTCGGAACTCACTGCAAATAGATGCGCCATGCTCCACTCCTTCGATTAGGTCTATCAATAAACAAAGTATACGCCTTGTGTGGCAACAAAATGCAAAAGTTTGTTTTAGGGGCAAATATAAACTTTTGGGTTTAGTTGCCGAATTAGATGAAAAATGAATACGTTGATGATGCCAATCTAAGGGGCGGGTCTAGCGCGTCTTGCTGTTACGATTTCCGAATGACCGATAGCATAGTATTCGCGTTATTCTCATTTTTGTCGTAAAAAGAATACCTACCATGCAGTTTGCAGAGGGCTGTACAATGTACTAATCATCAAACCGGCCAACAGCCCATGAAACCTGAAGAAATTCACAGAGGCGGATCCAGCTCAGTTTTTTTTGGGGGGGGGCAAACCATAACAATTTATCGATTCTTTCCATGCCTCTTCCATAGGCGTGATGTTAAAATTATGCCGTTTGGGAGGGGCAAATGCCCATTTTGCCCCCCCCCCCTGGATCCGCCACTGGAAATTCATCACCCTCCCCAGTCCCCTCCCCTCGCCTCCAAACCTACCGAGCTGCTGAAGATCACTCCGTAGATCGGTCCCGCATGCTGGGTGCCGTACGTGTTGGCCACGGCCGTGACAATCAGACAAAAGTTGGCCGAAAACGAGACGAAGACAAGCCACACCCAGACGGCGAACATCCAGCGGCCGCCCAGCGGCGTCAGCTGCATCGTGGCGAACGCCGCGCAGAGCAGGGTGCACGCGCACAGCATCGCCGTCTGGCGGCAGAACGGAGAAACTGTGGTACAGGGCTGGCCGATAGAGGACAGGGTGGACGCGCACAGCATCGCCGTCTGGCGGCAGAACGGAGAAACTGTGGTACAGGGCTGGCCGATAGAGAACAGGGTGGACGTGCACAGCATCGCCGTCTGGCGGCAGAACGAAGAAACTGTGGTACAGGGCTGACCGATAGAGGACAGGGTGGGCGCAGGGAGCACGGACAAAAGGAACATGGGGATATGTTGATGAGACAATAAATGTCGGAAGTTGCTTTTGACAATGACGATGATAGCGAGATGACTTTACTTCCCGGCGGCAGCAGCGTCAAACTATTTCATTCCCTTTGCCTTCGAAGCACGTGTCACTTTACCTAGTTTCAGTATAACATTACGTTCACGAGGCTTCAGCCTTCAGCGACCATGACTGCAAAATTACCATCGTAACAAAAAAATGACCGACGCCCATCACTTTTATAGCTAACCAGGGTACGATTACACCTTTTTGCACTCAAAATAGGCATCTTTTCATTCAATTTCGGCGAATTGCATTCAATTTTAGCGATCTCTCATTTGCTTCGAATAGAGAGATCGCTAAAATTGAATGCAATTCGCCGAAATTGAATGAAAAGATGCCTATTTTGAGTGCAAAAAGGTGTAGTACAGGGTTTACAAAACCAACCCACATCTGATTTCTTGCAGAAGAGCTTCACACGTTGAGGAGCTTCTAAACTCTCAAACTCACCCTGTAGGATGTCCTGTCGCAGAGCGCTCCCCACATCACTCGTCCCAGAGAGTTGAACACGGCCGCCGCCGAACCGACAAACGCCAGAAAATGGTCATCGGCTGCCGACAACGCCGGGACAGGGCAGTCAGTGGGAAAAGTCAGCCCAACGAACAACACGAACACAAACGAGGGATAAATCAGAATCAAGGAGGTAATGAAAATTAATTAACGCAGTGTGTAAAATGCTGGAAGGGTTTGGTAAACAAAGAGCATGTAACACCCGATATAGATAATCAAGGAGAAATGAAATGAATAACGCATACGTGAGTGAATGAAAACGCGGAGACCAAACTAAGATGAAAAACTGCGATACAGAAAAGTACTACAAAAAAAAATCCCGTAAAAATGTAAAATGTGTTAAAAACAGGCACATAATGATACTGCCGTCGGGAGGAAAAAAGCCGTATCTGGGGCACTTTTTCGAATTGAAAATTGTTCAGGAGAGGCAAAAACGCGTTTTTTGTTATACAATTCGTTAACTTCGCTCAATAACGAAACAAAACATACTGCAGTGATCGGAAAGAAATTTTACATCCAATGAAAGTGGTTATAAAAGGGAAATTATTTTAACCTAAAAGCAAAAGGCGAAAAACTTTTTTGCCTCCAATTCAACCCCGAGTTTGCGGAATATTTCTTTCACGAAAAAAGCCGTATCGTGGAAGAAAGCCGCATCGTACGAGACACCTGAGCAATACTGTCATGAAAAAAGCCGTATGTCTGATACATTGGTTAACCGATCGGGAATAAAGCCGTATCGCCATTTTTGTTTTATCATATTGTCGTCAAAAAGCAGTATCATCGGTGCATTTGTATTGACAGCACATATTTGTCCATAAAAGAACTAAAGCAGTTCCGCTGCTGGTTCCGTTCCACTGCTTCAACTCTCAAGTATGGATATTTAATTGAACGTTCGATACAAAAACAAACATGATACCCATTTTAAACAGCATCCATGCATATTGCATAATCGCATTATTGTCGTAACTTTAGGCTCTTGGATTCTGATTGCGCAGGGTGCCATCAAAAGACAGCTTGACCAACCGACCAGGGACGTAGCCAAGGGGGGGGGGGCACAGGGGCCATGCCCCCCTCTTAAGGCGAAAAATAAAATAAAACTTAATAAAAAAAACAGCTGCACCACACCCCAAGAGATAGTGGGCCAAATCCGAGGAGTTTTCCTTTTCTGGAGGGGCACGACACTAGGCAGCGACCTGTGGCCCATCCCTGAGCAAAATCCTGGCTACGTGCCTGCAACCAACAAGGGGAATCACGAATGCTGTCTTTGTACGGTGCTCCAATTTTCTATTACACTGGACTCCAGAGTTAATTCTGAGCCACCGATATATTCGGAGAGATGAGTGTGCCGGTCTGCCGCTGCGCCGGAGCCACGGCGACAATGTCGAGAGAACCGAGATAGTGTAGTTTCCAATCGTCGATCTGCAGACCTCAAAGCACTTCAAGGGGGCAAGAGACGATGAGTGGGAATGTTGCTGATTAGCTGGACACAAGGTTCCTGGAAAAGGGGCGCTGTTAAGTCACGTGGTGCGCAGCTGCAAGCACGGAACCGCCGGGCTCCTGAACCAAAATAGAGGATTGTGTAGAACTTCAGGAATTCCTGTAAAGAAACTGCATCTACAAAGCCTGTGCGAAACATCTAGGGCGACAGCACTGTGCCGCGGCTGAGGGTGTAGGCAAATTCCGCCTCATTGTCGGAGATCGCTAGACTGCAGAGAGCTCCACACGTCTGCGGGAACGCCCTTTAGAGGGCGCACCCTCAAAAGGCCCCTGCATGTGCACTCGTATTCACAGGGCTCTGATTATAGCGCCTACTGCAATAGAGCAGAGGGCTATTCAGTACGCCTTGCTGCATCCTTCACCGGCCACAGCTGTGCTGGTAGGCTCTGGGCAGCTGCCCGTAGAATATGACAATGTTGGGCTTGTGTGGGTGCTACAAGGTAGCCTAAATTTCCAATATGATTGAGCATCATGGGTATGAGGGAGCCGGAAAGAAGACGGTAAAGTCATTGACCAGGAATGGAAGTGACAGGGGATGACGTCCCAAAGATCCATGGGCGTGGTCAAAATTATCACAATGAATGTGACGAGGTTGGCAATAGCAATCGACCTTTCACGGTATTCAACTATATCTTCACTATATCTTCAACGGTTTTACGACAAAGATTGTAGGTCGTCGTACTAAGCGTGCCGGTTACGAGCTGCATGTCTATGATGATTACCGGGTCGAACTTAACATGATGCTATTTTGGTTTTGGGGTGGGGTGGGGACAGGGAGGACAAATTAATCATGGGGGAGGCTAGATCGGGTATTTTTATTGCAATTTTAAACGAAGCTGGGGAAAAGAACGGTCGGATTATACTGGCGCTCCCGGCTGGTTAGCACATCAAAATACTGAATGCCAGGCACCCTGCTGACACCACCGAGCTGGCAAAGTTCTGTTGGCTTCAAACTTCTCAAGTTCACTCCCTATTTTATTTCAATTAAAATTCCCCTATAAATGGTCACATATTGCTGCGATCACGTAGCATGTTTGTGTAAATGTTCAACTGTTCCGTCCAGGATATGCCGAAGCCATGCTAAATGAGTAGATACGGCTTTCTTCCAAACTGCCAGGACCAACGATTCGGCTTATATTTCACAGGCCACCATCAAATAAAAGCCGTATCTACAAGATACGGCTTTCTTTCTGACTTATCAGTTCCACATTCTTTGTTTGAAATTTTGCATAAATGCCGTATCTGCCGAATTTAAGGATACGGCTTTCTTCCTGCGTGTTTTGCTATCCCTGATGTAACAAATCCGTTTTTGAATTTTTATATTATATATAATATTTTCATTTTTGAGTGTACACACGTTTGAGCAGTACCATTAAACGCGTCATGAAAAGAGCTTTCCAACGATATCAAAAACGAAAAATCGATAAAAATGCGACTTACGGCTTTCTTCCTCCCGACGGCAGGATAATTGGCTCATAAATGCCGTGGAATGGATATGGCAGCACTGGCTGAAGTTAAGCTCCAGAACACGGCTATTAAATGCAAGATGGTTTTCACGCATTTCAGTCCATCGTATGTTGACAGTCCAAAGAAGCATTTTGTCGACTCGGATTACCGTTTGTCGGCACTGGTATCACTGTCAATGTTACCAAATGCCGTAAATAGAATAGTACGGCATTTTATAAGATTGGGCCAGATCAAAATATTCAGCGACAGGTAAGAATACGATCACCAAAAGTAATTATAGCCTGTAGTTTTTTTTTAAGAAGTCTACCACCCTCTGAATCCCCGGACTGGTCAGTGACCCTGCCTCCCGTCGGGCACCCACCGATGTTCTTCTGTCCGTAGGCCTTCCACAGCGGGTTGATGAAGCCGATGGTGATTGTGTTGAACAGGAACGTGACGTACAGCTGGTAGAACTGCCGGGTCCGGAGAGCCTCGGATAGAGACAGACTCACTGCTCCTGGGGGAACGGGGGGGGGAGGCTTGATGGATGAAATTAATCAGGAATAAATGTGCAATATACGACCAAAATAATGACGAAAACTACTCATTGTACTCATTTTATCATTGGCACAAACCACTAGAGGAGCACATAAGGTAGTTGCCGTCATTCTATGAGCTTCAGAATGTATCGTCTGCTCACCCTCGTCCTCCGTCGATTCGTACTCTGTCGATCCCTGCAACACCACAAAAAAGAACACTCAATATTGAGTATCTCACACTGCACGCTGCATCAGAACGAAACAAGACATCAAGGCAGCAGCTGCATAACGTGGGAGATGTCAGCACATTTAAATACATCAACACATAATTCATCAATGACAGTACAAACTGAGCCAACGAAATTAACCGCCAATGCTGACCAACTGAACCGCCCAAACACCAGCGAAACAGAACGTGGATGGTTAAACTCTGACTGTAGTGCATATTGGTAAATACTGACCACATTGAGTGCCGATGGTTCGTCCGAGTCGTCCAGCAGGGCTGTACTGTCCGAGCGGCGACGCCGCTGAAATCAAACACACCAAGAAATGTGACGCAGAGTGAATGCGAGACACCACAGAGTGTATAACTGCACCATCAGGTGGGCGGGGATCTATAACACGACTCTTTGCGACTTTTTGTGATCATTTTCCACTTCTTTATTTCTTCACCTATCTATCAATCATTTATTTGCCTTGGAGCACAATACCCCAAAATGACTACAATTCCTGGCATGTCCAAGACAGACGACAAACGGAAGACTTTCACACACCTCCACTCTAACAAGAATAATTAACATGACTGGTTATCGTTCACTCTCCAATTAACTAGTTGAGCTACCAATCACCCTGGTTACCGCTACCGTGCCAACCAGCTGACTTATCTCACCTGTGCCAGCGGATCCCCTGTTGCCATGACAACCAGCTGACATATCTCACCTGTTCCTTGGGATCCTGTATGAATGCAATACTGGGCAGCTGCATCACTCCATACACGGTGGCCAGTAGAAGGAACATGGACGGCACCCGATCCAGCACGGACGACTCGTGAAAATAACTGACGACGGGGGGGGGGGGGGTTAGAGAGGAAGAGAGCGAAACACAGCGAGAGGCAGTTGAGAGTACCGAGAGAATATAGGAGAGATATAACAGAGGAGGTGGATGGATGGAAGGAGAGAAAGAGAAAAAGTGGGTGCCATGGATAGAAGAACCGATGGAAAAGGGAGAGATAGGAGGTGTGAGAGACATGCTATCGTAAAGCATCTGAACACGGGAATGTCCTCGTTCCAAATTTACCGCTAAATTTTAATGAAAGCAGTTGTGATTAGACTTGACAAATCTCGCGCTAGCTCCCTTTAATTTTTTTTCTATTGCTCTCCTTTCTTCTCTCCTTCCACGCTGAGCATCTCCCACTACAACAGGGTGCACCTTCCTCTCCACCTATATCCATCCATCCCTCCTTTCCTTTTTCCCTCCCCCTCTCCCTCCCTTCGCCCCTCTCTCTCCCTCTTTCTCACTTGTCGGCGGCCACAGCCACGTTGTCCGGGTTCAGGTAGCTAGTTTGGATCCAGTTGAACACCACAGCGCCCATGCCGAACCCGGCCACAATGATACCATTGGCCAGACCGCGGCGTTCCGGATACCACTGGGGAGAGAGGGGGGAGCGTGAGAGAGAGAGAGAGAGGGAGAGAGAGGGAGAGAGAGAGAGAGAGAGAGAGAGAGAGAGAGAGGGAGAGAGAGGGAGAGAGAGGGGGTGAGAGAGAGAGAGGGGTGAGAAAGAGGGGGAGAGAGAGAGAGAGAGAGAGAGAGAGAGAGAGAGAGAGAGAGAGAGAGAGAGAGAGAGAGAGAGAGAGAGAGAGGAGGTGAGAGGGTATTTGACGGGACACGCTATACAAGAGCATCTACATAATATGTAGGTACATCAACATTCAACAGGTAGGTAAAGAAAGTCTGCATCGATACGATAATCGTGGTTGTGGGTATATGATCGTTATGTTCTGAACCTTGGCGGAGCTGACTCATGTACATTTGTGAAGTTGATGTCAATGCGTGGGGTTAAAAGTAACTTGCTATTTTTTCACCGCTATCTCCGCAAACAGGTAAAAATACCCGGGGAAGGGGACAAGTCTTCCGCACACCACAGTTATTGTGTCTTGCCTACGGTTTACTATCGAACGTTACGCTTGGTAAGGTATCGTTGTTCAAGATCTTTTTTTTACCTACTACTCCTGCTGTACTTTATCTGGGTTACCTACCTTCATGGCGGAGCTCATGGGCGCGACGTAGGCCAGTCCGACTCCGATACCACCTCCCAGGCCGTACGTCAGACTCAGCAGAGCCACGCTGGAGCGGACCGTCTGCGAGCTCAGCGCCGTGCTCACACTGCGGGGACGCGGGTTCGAGACTCAGTGCGGGCAGACGTTTTAGCAGCTGAGGCGGTAAATGACAAGGGAAAGCGAGATCGAGCACTAACTGCATGAATTTAGTACACCAGTTCCCACCTCCAGTCCCGCCTTCTTCTGTCCTCCGTTCACGATCCCACACTTCCCTCCCATCCTCCCTGCGAGTCTCCTGCTCTGTCCTCATTCCTCATCCGTCCCCATCGCTCTTCCGTGGCGCTCGAGTCTAACAGCCGTCTCTTTTTTTCTACTTACGTCAGCAGCCGCAATCTCCCTCAATCCACCCATTCTGTATCAGTCTCTTCATCTATATTCGATCCCCAAATCCTTCCCTCACCATCCCCAGCTCCTAACTCTTCTTCCTTCCTCCTCTTTATCCCCTCTGCCTCCCTCTCTATCCTTCATCGCCCTTTAATCCCATCTATCACTAACTGTTAGTCTATCCTCCCTCCCTCCAATCTCTCCTTCCTTCCCTTTTCCCCTCTCCCAACCCATCTCACGTGAGCACCGCACATCCGATGAGGCAGGCAACCCGCGGCCCGAACCGGCCGTACAGCCGGCCTCCGACGGCCAGTGTCAGGCCCTGGCCCATGTTCATCAGCGCGGGGATCCACATGGTGGTGGCATAGTCGACGTCCTCAGAGACGCGTACATGGAGGTACGATGTCAGGTAGGAGGTGACGTTACCTGCAGAGGTGAGAGGGGTGAAGGGGGAGCAGATTTCAATGCACTATTGCAGACAGTGTTAGAGAATAATTACGAGAATGGGAGAAGTGAAGAGCCCATACACCATATGGGCTGAAATTCACAGCTTCAGGCTAACAAGTCTCACCTGAATCTAAAAAAATATGGGTAAGATATTCACCAAATATTCTGATAATAGTCAGAAAATAAGGAAGAGGAGTAAGATACTCTGACACAAAATGCCCACCAAATGTGTAGATGGTGCCCAGGGTCAGGTGCATGACGAACCCTCCGGCGATACACGCCAGGCCCTGCCATGGCCGCTGCCACCTCGGCATGGCTGGCCTCTGCAAGAGAACACTGGTGGTCAAAAAATGAAAAAATAATAATTTTTATTGCAATTGTGCATTACATAAGCCAAAATTACGGTTAATAACAATAATTTTGTGTAATCGCAAGTAGTGGGACTTACTTGGAGTGAAGTCTAATGTAGACGCACCGGCACACGTGTAGTCGTCTCCTGCAGACGGGCCCCGTCCAGTCCGTCTGCGATCGGTCCGTCTCAGAGTCCGAGTCCGTCACGCTCACTCCGCCCGCGTCCCGCACACTCCGCCAGCCCACTGGCGCGGGCCGCGCGCCGCGCGACCGACCGGTCACGTCCCGCCCCGGGCGACGCACGGGCGAGTCCAGGCAGTCTCGGGGCTGCGCACGGGCGCTCCCAGGCAGCTTGCCGGGGCGGTACGCACCGAACTTAACCTAACACCACACCCCCACCTGATCTTCAAGATCACTTAATTATGTTGCGAATCCACACAATAACCAAACTCGCAGCAGAAGCGTTTCACTTCGACTGGTCTCCGTGCGCTTCGACGCAGACCACTTTGCTCAGTCGCCCCTGGTTCCGCCGAAGAAGTCTCAGGCGCCGCTCCAACGGCCGCCGGTGTCAACACGGCCGATGACGTGCCAGAAGAAGATGCCGCGGGTGCTACAGTCGCCACACTCCCCGGCGCTCCACCAACCGCCACAGCCGGGTCGCCGGCCACGATGGCCGCCGAGTCGGGGGCCGCGACGCTCGTAGTGATGAGCAACGGCGGATCATCAACCGCGGGCCCGGCGGAGCACCGCGTCACACCTCGCTGCGCAGCCGCTCCATCACGGTGCGGAGAGACTCCCTGCCGCCGCCGCAGATCTTTGACGTGACGGGGTACCCCGTCCACTTCTACCACCCATGGTGACAGCACGGCGGTTACGACGCCCGGCCGTGACCTGTCTGTGCATCGAGAGCCCTGCTGGCGGACCCACACCGGCTCGCCGGCCACCAAGCCTCTCACAGGCTGGTGCACATCCTCCGCTGCACCTTCGAGCGAGCGGTCAGCGTGTTGCACACAATCTCGCACACGGTATCGGTAGACGCCACTTGCAGGTGACTCCTCTTCATTCTCTCCGTCCCGTGGCGTGATATTGTAGATGTGCACTGCCTCCTCAATGGAACACCTCTTCCTAGCAGCAATCACCTTTACCGTGCGGTGGTTACGCTCGATGATGCCATTACCAGCTGGAGCATACGCTGCTCTGAATCGCAGCGCAATGCCCCATTTTGCCGCAAACGCCGCGAACCGATGCCCGCGGAAAACTGTGTCGTTGTCGCAGAGTATTTCACACGGCGCACCGCGTTCACAGAAAACTCTGTTCAGGAACTCGGTCACAGCTTCAGCGTCTGGACGGCGCAGCAGGCCCCATAGACAAAACCTCGATGGACCACAATCGATAAGTGACAGGTACGATTGAGACTGATAGTGCGTGATGTCGATCGCCAGGCGCTCCCACAGCCCGCTCACCTCGAGAGACCCATGCGGTAGCTGAACGGGCGCCGGATCAATGGACTGACAGATGTCACACCGGGACACCACCAGCTGCACGTCGGCACGCCTGACGCTCCTCGTCACATCTCGGCGCGCAAAATACAGTGTTTTGCGGACGCCAGGATGACCAGCTCTCTCGTGAACATCCCTGATTGCTGCTGATAGAGTCTCTCCAGCGGGCACGACCACGGCAGCAGCCACAGTTGTGCGATGATCAGCACGGAGCCACTCTCCCGGCACACGTGTCAGCGCATCGGCACGATTCTCGCAGGAACGCACCAGCGTCACAGAGACACTGAGGGACAGCTCCTCAACAAGCTGCCTGACGATGCCGACCCTCCGCCGGATCAGCAGCTCACTCTGCGCCTTCGTGCGGAGCCGCGCGCGCCCGGTCAGTGCGTCACTGAGCCATCGGTGAACATTCACAGAGTCCGTGCGTAGCTCGACGTCCTTCATCCCCCATGCCACGGCAAGGTTTAAACCTCGGACTGCGGCATCTAGCTCCGAGAGGTTAATGTGCGAGCTCTCGTCTCGTCGCAACCAACTGGCGTCCTCGATCGCGCAGCCCTCTGGTGTCGTGATCACCACTCCTTCCGCCAGAGAGCTCGCGTCTACCCACACGACTGCAGCATGGCCGTTCACACACCACGGCCCACGGACCGGGTCGCATTCCGCAATCCGCGTCGAAACATCCTGCATCTGATCCCGGAGAGCGTCATCTTCGACCTCGTCATCCCACCCACGCGTCAGGCCGTTCACCCTGCGCTTGAGAAACGCAGCCGCGGGGCGCAGCCAGCCACACACTGGAAAATGGGCCACGATTTTGCCGCACCAGGAAAACACGGCACGCCGGGTCAGTCTGGCAGGGGGAGCCTCGACCGGACTGTCTCGGGCCCACTGCAGTCCATCGTGTCCACTGGACACACGCAGGCCCAAGACACGCGCGCCGTCAGCTGCTCGCACGGGCGGCTTACAATCTAGGCCAAACCGACGGAAGTGATCGATAACATACTCGGCATCGACGACCGATTCGTCCACGAGCAGGTCATCCACAAAGCCCAAGACTCCACGCTCCACCAGTGGGTCCTGCTCCAGAATCGTCTTCACGACGGCACGCATCACTTCCGGCGCTACGCTGAGACCAAATCCCATCCGCGTCAGACAGAAGCGCTCACCATCCAACATCACCGTCTGGAAGGGCCACAAACGCTCGTCCACGTGCAGCTGCAAGTACGCTCTGCGAAGATCAACGACGGCCACATTTTCTCCGCGTCTGCGCCAGCGTCTCAACTGCTCAGCGCAGACGTCGGCCTCAGCTGTGTGAGCCGTGATGTGCGAGTTGAGCTCTCTGTAGTCCATTACGGGGCGAACCTTCTGCTTGTTAGGCTGATTGACTGCCATCAACGGAATAAGTCCACGTGGAGGTCCAAGCCGCGACTCATCGTACCGAACCAGCCAGCCGTTCGCCACCCACTGACGAAGCTCTCCGTCAAAGTCCGCACGAATGCCTTCAGGAATATTGTACATCGCGACCTGATTTTTCAAGTATTCTGGGGCGGAACCAGCGGACCACTTCCAGGACACCTTCCAGGTCCGCTCCCGCCGGTCGAACTGCACTTTATAGTCAGGGGCATCGACAGAAAGATCGGCCTCCAACGCAACAGCGACACCGCAGAACACTACTTCTGTCGGGGACTTGACGCTGACTCCACCCAGAGCTGAGATCCCGTCCATGCCGAGGATCATGTCCACTCCCAGAGGTTCCTTTTCCATCACCAGCACCGAAATCTCCGCCATCTGTCCAGACGATGTCTCCACGGTGACTCGACCCACACCGTTGCAGGAGAGCTTCTCATCGCCCACCGTCGTCACGGTCACAGAGCGTTTAACAAAACGCTCACAGCACGACAGATGGATAATATTATCAGTGCACCCTGAATCGACCAGCGCAGTTCGCCAATGACCATCCACCAACAGCCGTGTGATTGGCAGCACGCCGCTCAGTGTCGAGTTGGAGAGGACGCCGGCTGTGACGCGTCCTCCCCTGCCAAGTTTCCCGAACGTCGGGGACAGCCGGCCGCCAGATGCTCGACACTTCCACAGGTCCAGCACCGCCTGCGGCGCCGCACACCTGCTGGCACAGTCGCAGCGGTTGCAGCATGGGCCTCGACAGCCGGTCTTTCAGACGGCATCCCAGTCCCCGACTGAGATGGCATCGTCGATCTCAGACGGCGACGATCTGCCACACCTGCCGCCGCGAGCTGCGCCCGTCCATCACTCAACAGCGCCCTCGTCATGACCAATGCAGCGGTCAAGTCGAGCGAGTCGGCGCGCGAGCTGGCTCGGACGGTGTGGCGCACCGGCTCAGGCAAACCAGCTACAAACTTGCACACCAACGATCTGTCCGGCATGCCGCCGAACAGCTCGGCCAATCGACGAAGGTCGGCAAGATACACATCAGGAGATTCCCCAGCCTCCAGCCTCCGGGACTCAAAACGCTCAAAGGCAGCGAACTGATCCAGCGCAAAAGCTGCGTAGAGAGCCTGCCTTATCGCGTCCAGGGAGAACCGATGCTGCGACTCCATCCCCTGCCAAACAACAAATGCGTCCCCGGCTAATCTCAGCGGCAGGTGAGACTCCGGTGCAGCCCCCCTCAGCTGACAGAGCATCTCTGCTCGCGTGAACCACTCTACAACATCAGCAGATCCATCAAACTCGGGAATCAGTCTGGCGTCGAAACTCATTGCAGCCACAGGAGCCGAAGGCTGCATGGGAAACGGCACGGCAGAGACAGACGTCAGCGGCCCGGTCACCGACGACGTCACACTCAGCATCGTCGATGGAACGGCGGTCGTCACACTCACAGAGACCATAGATGAAGTTCCAGAAGTACCCGGCGCTGAAGTCGACATCTTGAAGAGCCGAAATAGCTTGTAATCGCAAGTAGTGGGACTTACTTGGAGTGAAGTCTAATGTAGACGCACCGGCACACGTGTAGTCGTCTCCTGCAGACGGGCCCCGTCCAGTCCGTCTGCGATCGGTCCGTCTCAGAGTCCGAGTCCGTCACGCTCACTCCGCCCGCGTCCCGCACACTCCGCCAGCCCACTGGCGCGGGCCGCGCGCCGCGCGACCGACCGGTCACGTCCCGCCCCGGGCGACGCACGGGCGAGTCCAGGCAGTCTCGGGGCTGCGCACGGGCGCTCCCAGGCAGCTTGCCGGGGCGGTACGCACCGAACTTAACCTAACACCACATTTTGTTTCACTTGAACCATTGATTTTATGTAGGGATACGCTTCAAACTGATTCATGTAGGCATTAAATAGCCATTAATTATTCCTCAGAAATTATTTCATTACCTAGGATAACGTAAAAGCTTTCAATTATTCCCTAAATCACAACATATGGGTTGATTTCACACTGCAATTGGGTAAACAAATGGTGGCCTTGGAGAGATTTTGCTGGAGCTGTTCGTTACCACCATACGCAGTTTCCAAAGCTTTCAATTGTCATAGCAACATGCACCAAATGCAACGCTTTGCACGTTACCATGGCAACCCTTGGTTCTTTGACTCAGAGTCGTGGCTACTAATTTCAATCAGTATGTATTTAATGCTGCGGAATCGCCGATTGCGCACGTATACAAACGGTGTAACTTTTGCAAAATGCCAGCAGCGGATCAAAAATTTATTGGCCCCGAAAAATTTTGCTAATTTGGCACTAAATTCGCCGTATGTCTGTCTACCAGCAGCAGATACAGAAATTCGCCGGCCCTGTACCTATACGTGCTGCTCTGGCTATAGGCGGCGGAACGGGGAGGGCACCGGGGCACCATGTGCCCCTTTGATTTTGGCATTTTAACCTTAGCCCTATGGGCGTTGCATGGAAAGAATGGGACCAAAAGTCGGCAGTGCCCCCCCCCCCCTAATTGAAGGTGTTCCGCCGCTACTGGTGTCAGCCTGGCTGACACACCTTTGTCGCTGTTTTATTGGGTTAGGCCCCTTCGATCTGACGAGACAATTTCAGGACCGGAAGGATGATAGGAATTAGGGGGATACATTGGTCTGGGCGAGCACCCTGGTGACTCGCCGACTCACCTGAGCTGAGCCAATCGAATTGGAAAGGCCACCGGGCCCACTGGTACTCACCGCACCCGGCTACAGGTGCGTCCGGGCTCCTTTGAGAGCTTCCCAGTTCCCAGTTGCCGCATAGGATAAAGTTGCTCGTCCAGCTCGGAGCAGGAGGCTGAGGCGTGGAGGAGAAGGATTTGAACATCCTGAGGATGTAAACGACCTGGCTTTAGGCGCGCCTGACTGGACCGAGTTTACGGCTTGCCGGTCGTTCCGATGTGTCGGTCAGCGAATGGGCATTTTGAGGCTCAAAAGTTATAGATTAGATACATCGGAGATACACAGATACGACTGGCCTGGTGTGCCAGGCGGCAGCCGATGAGACTCCTCGGGGTCGGGACGACTGAAGATGCCTCTGGGATCGCTTACAGCTAGACTCGCCCGTTCCGTCTTTTCCATCCTCAGGATGTTCAAACTTCCTTCTCTCACGCCGCAACCCCTCAGTCCGGGCCGGACAGGCAACCTTATCCCACACGGGCGGCTCCCATTGGAGTGCACCGTAGCTTAGCTCCTAGGGAGCACACCCGTAGCCGGGTGCTGTGAGTGCTTGGGGGGGGGGGGGGGGCTGGTCGGCCTGTCCCATTGGATGGGCTCAGCCCCGCGACTCACTAGGGTGCCTGCCCAAACCAACGTCTTCCCTTATTCTTACCATCCTTCCGGCTCTGCCATGGTCTCAGTGGGCTGAAAGGGACTAGCCCAATAAAACAAACAAACACAGCTAGACTTATGTCGATGCCTCCAATCAGGCTGGCCGCTCTACGAATATGGCCCGCGCCCATGCCAGTCATCGGGTAGAAAGTAGGTAAACTGGCCGTCAATAATTGCAATCATGTCCTTTTCTATATTTTGACCTTCTGTATGGCCGAGTGACGAGACGTAGGTAAGGGCGGAGAAAAGTGAGTGTGAGAGAGGGAGAGAGAGATAGAGAGAGAGAGAGAGAGAGAGAGAGAGAGAGAGAGAGAGAGAGAAAGAGAGAGAGATGGGGGAAAGAGAGAAAGAAAGAGCGAGGGAGAGGGAGATAGAAGGAGAGGAAGAAAGAGAGGGGGAGAGAGAGAGAGAGGGGAGAGAGAGGAGAGAGAGAGAGAGAGAGAGAGAGAGAGAGAGAGAGAGAGAGAGAGAGAGAGAGAGAGAGAGAGAGAGAGACCGATGGGCATGCGTATTGAGTCCTATAGATATTAATCGCACAACATACTTTTCGTCCGCAGAAAAGCGCCGAGTTGAACCCTCGTACAACGTCACGTTATTTAGTAAGATCTTCACACTCTAACCCATACTACAGTGTTAGTGTTTGAATAAATACTGTGACACCGGCTCGGTACACGTCTCACCGGGGTATCTACTCCACTGTGATGTTCTCATTCGTGTATAGATGAGTTAGGTGGGTCTGATTTTATCTCGGTTTTCTTCAGTGACTAGAAAATATTCCAGAAGAGAGAGAGAGACCGACGGACACGTGTATTGAGTTCTATAGATAATCGCACAGCATACCTTCTTTTCATCCACAGAAAAGCGCCGAATTGCACCCTCGTACAACGTCACGTGAGTAAGTAAGAACTTCACACTCTAACCCATACTACAGTGTTAGTATTCGAGTAAATACCGTGACACCGGCTCGGTATACGTATCTACACCACTGTGATGTCCTGCTCAGTGTGTAGATGAGTTAGGTGGGCCTGATTTTCATGTCGACCTTTTTCAGTGACTCATATGTCCTCCATTCGTACCACCATATTCCAGTCGCGTCCCTATTACCGCCGTCCCGGTACCGTCCGTTCAGGCTGCTGTCCTCGCACCCCCAGCCAGTGCCCCACCACCAGGGCCCCTCACGGAGCTGTACACAGTTATAGCCATACGAGTCCTGGTCACGGTCACGGGTAGAGAACTTCGCATTGACGCTCGGCCGCAGACCATCCCCGGCAGTTCCCGAGTAGTTGGTATAGCTCAGTCTGTACCCATCCACCTCAGACGAGATACGGAACTGTTGGTATGTAGCGTATGATCTATTGCCGTCAAACGCTTCCAGGTCAATACGGAGTTCGAACTGTCGGCCCGATGACGTTAGCTGATAAACGTGTTCCAAGCCCCACCAGAATTCTTTGGTAACATTACCAAAGCCCTCCTTGTAGTAGGTCCATCCGAGGTAGAAGTCCTGGTGGGGCTTGATATCGTCTCGTCGTTGGATCACCGTCCAGTTCCCTCCGGCAGTGGCCATGTCACAGTAGGCCTCGATGGGTGGTTGTGTGCTGCTACCACTGGGTCGAAGGAGGTAGACACCAGATGGGGAGTCGACAGGCAGGTCGCTGCAATCACGTGCAGGGGCCAACTGTTTTACCTTAGCAGCTAGGTCATCAATACGCTCCTGTTGGGATGAAGTGTTGTTGATGGCTCCGGTCAGCTTGGATCCTAGGAGGTCAACCTTGGAGGTCAGGTCATCCATTCTGACTGAAACTTCACCATGAGTCGTTCTTCGTTCGTTGAGCTGGTTGTTGAGCTCGCTCAATTGAGATTGCTGGCTGTCGATCCTTGTAGCCAGTTGAGACGTCTGTGTGAGCCGTTGATCTCCTTGCTGTGTAACGATGCTATCCAGTTGCGCTGTGACGTTATTCACTGTGGTTGCAGTCTCCTCTTGATGTGATTTTTGTTCGTTCAGCTGGGTGTTGAGCTGGCTCAGTTGCGACTGCTGGCTGTCGAGTCTGGCAGTGATTGAAGTCAGTTGAGTGGACAGCTCTTCCATCTGCTCACTCTGCCTGCTTCTCAAAATACTGGTCGTAAGTTCCGTCACTCGAGAGTCGAGTAGAGTCAGTCTGTTGTCCAGCGACTCCACCCGAGACTCGAATCTTCTGATGACTGGCCGTAGCTCTTGCTGAACTGCTCTTGCGATGATGATGAACATCTCGTCGGCAGTGGCGCTGGGCAGGGCGGCCGGCTGCTGCTGCTGCGCCGCGGACCGCCCGGCCAGGGCGGTCCAGACGACAAGTATCACTCCGATCACCGTGTGCACTGCCATGCTGGATTGGCAGGAGGTGCCGGCGGCGTAGGCTGCCGCCCTCGGACTGACGGCTCGGAGTTGGCAGGGCGTCTGCAGAGCTCGGTGCGGCTGACCTCTGCCAAAGGCAGAGGTCACATCCGGTCAGGCGGCCCGGTCCCGTGAGCGACAGACTCAGCGACAAACATTTACCTTGGCCTCTGACCACTCTGTTGGATGGGTGTTATTTCTGTTCACGGTAGTCACTAGAGATGTCAATCGTATACCAACATTTTGGTATACCGATATCAAACCGATTCCAATTTGGTATTTGGTATTCCAATCCTCCTATATTTGGTATTTTATTGGTATTATGAACCCTCACTAATATATAAGAGGCTGATAAATTGGTATAAATTTGGTATTTGCCTCATGTTCCTAGGTTGGTTCGGTTTCGGTATTTCCTCACGGTTTTGTTGGTAGTTGGTTTGATATCGGTATTCCGATTTTCTGTAATTGACATCACTAGTAGTCACATCCAATAACCCGTGTATATGTCGATGGTGGGTGAGATCACTTATAGTGACGTGCTAGTGCTCATGAGTAGTGATGTAAATACGTCTCATGAGAGAGAGAGAGAGAGAGAGAGAGAGAGAGAGAGAGAGAGAGAGAGAGAGAGAGAGAGAGAGAGAGAGAAACTGGGAGCAAAAAGGAAGGCGGAGGGAGCCAGATGGAAAGAAGGAAGGTAACGAAAATGGGGTAAATGATAAATCCAGCCACGAATGGAGGGCACATTCCTCATACCCAGCCCCCCAACCCATCCCCCCTTATGGCTTCGGGCTTACGCCAGCTCCGTCAGTGATTGAAAAGAAAACTTGAGGAATGGATGGGCAGTCAATCAATTTGTTTATACCGAGTCTTGCATAGGTATTCTGGCTGAGCGACGAGCCGTTCTAGAGCAGAGAAAGGGCTGGAAGAGAGAAAGAGAGAGAGAGAGAGAGAGAGAGAGAGAGAGAGAGAGAGAGAGAGAGAGAGAGAGAGAGAGAGAGAGAGAGAAGGAGGAGGAAGAGGAGGAGGAGGAAGAGGAGGAGGAGGGGGAGAGAGATGGAGAGGGAGAAAGACATGGGAGGGACAGAGAGACATAAAGGAGAGGTAAGCATAGGGAAGGAGGAGGGAGAGTGGTGAAAGACATATAGGTAGGGAGGGAGAGAGATATCTGACAGCAAGATAAAAAGCGGTGCCCGTGAGAGATGGAAAGAGGGAAATTAAAGAGACAGGAAAAGGGTAGAATAAAAAGCAAGAATGGAAAGGAGCATTAGACAAGACCATGAAGTTTCAGGAGAGGGGCAAAGACGAAGGAGGAGATCATTTGTGTACCTATGCCTGTTTGCTCGTTTCATTTGATATTTCACCAAGATGGCCAGTGCACCTGTCACTCACGTCAGTCGGTCCTTCAACTGTAAACCCTCGGTCATTCAGTTCACAGCTCTCTGGGCAGCTCAGGCCGCGGCCGCAGTGCCCGAGCTTAGCGATCGAACGCCATAATTATATGTACGTCAATAAAACTACGTCCGTTGTCTTGATGTTTCTGGGCATTAAACCCTTGAAAAGAACATTTTAATCGAGCCTACCTTCCTCCACAAACGTAACAAACATAAAAAGACCTTCAGCAGTGCCCTAATTATTAGAACAATTTTTTATGTCATAGATAAGTCATCATTGTCCAAGCGCACTGCATTGCACGGGCCCCAACACCTTTGAACGCAGCTCGCGTCTACACCTTTTGTCGGTTGAATTCGGTGCGTAATCGTCCATTTTAGAGCTAACGAAATGTTTGAAATGCCGCAATATTATGCACAAGAATCGCATAATATCTCCACGCAGGTCAGGTAGTCGTCAATAAAGCATTCAATTTCGCCACAGCGGCAATACGCTCCATTTTCGGTGATTCCGCAACCCTGCACACACCGAATGTAACTGGCAAAAGGTGTAGGACAAAAATCGCCCTTATTGACAAGGGCTCGCCGCGGGGCACGCGCTGCCTGACCTCCTGACCTTGGCCGGCCGCCTGACAGCAGAAGTCCAGACGACTGTCTGGTTTTTGAGGATGACGCAATACGCGGCTCAGGTGTCAAGGGGAGTTGCATGCGGTAGGTCGCGGTCAGGATAAACTCAAGTGGTGATTTCTCGTTTGGTGATTGGTGATGAAGTGATTAGGTGAGTGGTAGTGAAGTGATAGTGCAGTGCTGGTGCCGTGCGGTGCGCGACAGTGGACAATCGGGCCGCGATAAGTGATAACTGTGCCAACTGGAAGACTGCGATCGGTGAGTGAGTTGGAGTGACCAGGTGAGTTACCGATCTGTCAGTGAGTGACATGAGTTTTGTGAGTGTGATTATATGGTGACGATTGTCTGCCGAGTGCCGGCCACTTGAATGGAAAAATTTGAGATGACATCGTTTCTCGTTTCAGAATCTTCTACGATGGAGCTGGAGCGCTTCGGATCCAGAATGGTCAGTCCGTTCCAGTTTCACACTGGAACGGTAATTCAATTATCTATCGTGTTCGCTGTTTTAGTGTGTGTAACGGCGGATCCAGATGGGTTTTTATTCAGTGTCTCACACTTGATAGGGGTTGGGTTATAGATTGAACTGGGCAAACTTTCGTCGCAGACAACCATTAGACAATAGATTTTGATTTTTTGTTTTGTTTTGCTAGGCTAGGTTGAATTAATTTTTGATACGTAATGCTGATTATTAGGTATGCTTTGCTTGGTCATCAGTTAAATTACTTCACCTATGATTTAGACCGTAAATTTATAGGTAATTTCAAACTTGTCTGCGTCGAGGGTTTGCCGAAAAATGAGTACAAAATAATTGCATCTTTTTTTGTTGTTGACGTGGTTGCAATGTCTGATAATAATAAACTCAAAGTAATAATTGGTATCAAGTTCTTGCGTGTAAATGACAAATGTGGAAATAAAATTTGAAATTGTATTTCAATGTCAATGCAATTTTTTTTAGCTGATCGCTTTTTTCTTAGCTTCAAGGGTAGGTGAATGGCAGACATGTGCATAGATCCGAGAAAACGAATCTGGGATCTGATCCCACGGATCCTGATCTCGGATCCGTCAGGATCATAGATCCAGCTTTTCAATTTATCGAGAGATCTGTAGGGATCATAGATCCGAGCTTATTTTTTTTCCTGAGATCTAGTGAGATCATAGATCATCATTTACTTTTTACCAACTCAGAAATCCCAGAAAATGACTTGTTGCAACTCACAAGCGTTCTGTTTTAGATTTTATAGATTTTTTTACTTGTTAAAAAGTAGGTAATGAGGTTTAGTGGCGTCAAAATGCAAATATATATTGTAAAATTATATACCAGCATGACGAGCATTCTGGGACATTTTGATTTCATGCAGACACGATGTGAAGGAACGTCCATCGTGTATTTTACTTGTGCTTGAAGTTACCCCCTCTCTCACCGACACGAATCAGCCCGCCTGAGCACGTGTTGAACAGCACCATGGACTCCCATGCTCATTAGGCGGACTGAAAAGGTTCCTATCACCCATTTTCAGCTCTGCCAGATATTTCCAATGTTTTCTTGTTATATCTGCCATAGGGTCCAAAAACTAGAAGTCTAGAAAGGGCAGGTCGAGGATTTTGCTACTGGCGGCCCTGGTGGTGTCTGATTTGCTGTTTTTGTTTCTCCCTGAAGACTGATTCTTCAGAGGATGCACATACGCCAGATGGACCGTTTGAAGGTTATTTATGACTACCAGCTTGTTCGTGCATTATTTAACGTCTTTCTGAGGTATCCCCTTGATGATCGTATGCTTCGAACTGCCTCAATGCTTCAAAATCATCGTTTTGTGTCGTTCCTTACTGAACGGCGGTGGACCATGCGTGCCGATTGGTGGGACATTTTCAGGCTCCACTGGGGCCGAGGCCTTCGGTTAAAAGGGACAAATCATGACACCATACAAAATGTCCCAGATTTATCTATCACGTGCATTGCTTTTTTGCACAAGATTTTTCGATTTAGGGACCACCATTGACGTTTACTTTTTAACAGTTAAAAAAAAAATCACCCTGTATGTCATTGCACGTCATAATCCAAAGTTTCGTGGGCCTTAATTGACATAGAAGCACTTGGAAACCTGGTTCCAAATGTTGTGCATGGTGGGATCCACTCAGATCATAGATCCATGTTTTTGGTTTATCGTCAGATCCTTTGAGATCATAGATCCAGATAAAATATTACACAACGGATCCGGTAGGATCATAGATCCGAGCCTGCAGATTGCTTCGAGATGCACTGAGATAGATCCATCACTCGGATCCATGCACTTGTCTGGTTAATGGTTAAATAAATTATCAACAATGATTTTAGAAGTCAAAGTAGCCTGGCTATCATCTCAGCCACCTGGATCCGCCTGTCGTTACCTCGCTGTAGCCGTGTTTGTCATGTCAAGACGCGCTGCCCATTCTGGACGGCTGCCAGCCGTGCTCCCGGCTCCCGGCGCCGACCCGCCGCCGCGGGCAGCGCTCACCCGAGTCGGGTCAGCAGCTGACCGCTGACCGGCCGGCAGAGGTCAGCGAAGGTCAGCCAACTGCGCACGTGGCTGAACGATATGAAGCGCTACTGGGCAGCGCTAAAAACTTATCAAAGGGATGCAGATTTGAAATTATTTCTTACGGAATATTGATTTGGATAATTGTAGATATATTTAACTCTTATTCATCATTATTGCTTCAAAAAGATATAGGCTATAGCTCTTCTCGCTTTAATGCCTCAAATCACCGACATAAGGTGATAAAGTATGGTGTTGAATTGTACACATAAGGAGTTGGTGTCATATTACTGGATTAATTGTCATATTTTGATATCGTTTATTACTCATTTTAAATGGGTACCTAGCTGCTACCTAAATTGACGGTGTAGGTCGACCGTACCTACTATCGTGGTTAAGATAGTTATCGCTTTTAATTGAACATTTATTGGACATAGATTAAACACATAAGAAAGTTGTCATTTAAGTTGTGTTCAAAGCTGTGCCCTTTACAATCCCAGTTGAT